AGTAGTAGTAGTAGTAGTAGTAGTAGTAGTAGTAGTAGTAGTAGTAGTAGTAGTAGTAGTAGTACTAGTAGTACTAGTAGGACCACGACGTTTAGCGCCGTGTCGTTTTCTTACTTTTTTCCGTCTGTTTGTCACCTGTCGTCCGTCTTTGGGGGTGCGTACGCTCATCGCTCCCTTGGCTTTCTTGCTCGAGGGTGGGAGGTGTTGAGTGGGGCGGGGTGGGATGTTAATGTCGCCCCTAAGTGCACACTTATTGCGCAATACACGTCATACCTCTGGCCTAACACTTCTACGCTACGCTTCCCACTTCGCTCTGAGGCAGCAGTTTGCCAAAACTAACAGTTGAAATCCGATTTTCCACCTTCTCGTCACACAGGCTTCCTGAACGTGCCACTGCTAAGGGTTTGGAACAGTGCGTCGCCTGCAAGGTTTTGCCCAGCAAGCGCACACGACACATGTCAACAGAATAGGCTCCAAGGCAGCAGCACTCTGCAGCGGCACAAGCACCCAAGCTGTGACAGCCAATAGAGAGAGAGAGAGTTAAGCCAATTGGCACCAGCACTGGCACCCAGCACTCCACAGTGCACGCAGCCAGCTCACAGCATCGAAGCCCAGCGCCGGCACCGCACCAAAGCACCAGCACCCTGCACTGGCAGCTTCGCAAACAACTTATGTAAGGGCCTTCGCCTACAGCCTGCGCAAGCCAACGCCAACCCAGTAGCATCAGGAAAACTACACAAACGCTACTCACTTGTAGCAACCACAACGTGTTCCGCCTCGATCTTCCAAGTCTTTGAATGCGATCGCTGCATTCTTGTGCGCTTCGTCAGCATGTTGTTGAGAGGGAGTCTCATTCCTCCATTGCTCGCCGCTGCCCAGATCCTTTCGCAGAATTCTGCACATGAGCCCTTTGCGCCCAGGTCTTCATGACATCGAAGCTAACCAACTCATCAGCATTGGATGTGGCCTTCTGCACTCTATTGAGGATATTCCGGGACCACTTACACAAGCGCCTGTCCAACCATTCACCCTTAGTGCACCCAGTGCAAGGGACTGGTTCAACAAAAGCTGCAAGGTATGCTGATGGCACAGCGACCTGATCCCCATCATCTTTCCAAGGACTGGTCCAAAAGTCTAACCACCCTGGCAAACGGTATGGTCTGCGCACATGGCTTCTTCTGTAGTGAAGAACCTTTACATAATTCGCGCTTTTTGAATTAAGAGAGAGCCCTGGTAACTTGACAACTGCTGTGGAATTCAAATGCAAACATCTACCTGACTTACAGTAGTCATTCTTAGTTCACTTAGTTCACCCATATATTGTATAAACATCAAGTCCACTTACTTGTCAGTCCAGCCCTTGAGGGCTAAGATTCTGTTCAGTTCTTCTTAAAAGCGGCATTAACGTTAGTACGTCTTCATCTTGGCGGAGTGCCCATGGAACCCTCCGTGAACAGCCAGCCGTGTCTCCGTACTCAAGCGTAGCCTTCGCCATCCAATATTCACTCTGCTTCATCTTTCAGAGTCAATCCATCACTCTTCTTGACCTTGACATCTATTTTGCAACTTTCGCGGACCAGCCTGACTTTCTCAACCATACCTCGTTGCACAAGATAAGAAATTTCCCATCACGGTCTGCACCCCTGATGACGTTTTTGTCCTTAGGTAGAAGTGCCTGATAATCCTCCTCTATGCCTGATAAGCCTCCTCTCTTGTCTTCGCGCAAAACATCCTATGGCGCAAGTGTGCAACCTGCGGACAGCCTTGTGGTGGCCTTGTAGTGATTGGTGCCTGGTGGTTCGTGCGTCGACTGTGATCAGCCAGACTCCCAGAGTCCCCAGAGTCTGCTCCAACCGTGTATTTTCTGTCCAATGCTGTTCATTGTGTTATTTTTTCTCTTTCTCTCTCTCTCTCTCTCTCTCTCGCTCCATCGCTTTTCCATTTTTTATGTTTATGTTTTATCTTTATATTTATTGGTGTGTGTTATCTTTGTTTATCTCTTTCTTTCTCTTCCTTCCTCCCTGCTTTGCTTTCCTGTCCTTTCCTGCCCTGCCCTTCTCCTTCCTTCTTCTTTCCTTGCTTGCTTCCTTCATTTCCTTCCTTCCCTCCCTCCCTCCCTCCCTCCGTCCTTCCTGCCTGCCTTCTCTCTCTCCCTCTCTCTGGTCTTGTTTTTATTGATCCCTATTTGCTTTGTTTTTGATTCCTATTGTTATCTATTGTATACAGTAATTGATCCATCTCCCTTCTGTTTTGAGTCTTTAAACAAGGTTTCCTTATGTTTCCCTGGTCCACTGGTCCCTGTAGGATCAAGCGAAACCTGGAGAAGCATCCATTGCATGACCTCTTTAGTGTTGACTGC